CGGGGGGGTGATGGGGTGGCATGGGGGGGGGGCACGAGAGTGGGGCTGGGGGGCTCTGGGGAGGTGGGACCATCGCCCTCAGCGAGGGGGCCCAGTGGGGTCTCCTGGGCTCTCTTGGGGTCTACTAGGGTCTTTTGGGGTCTGCTGGGGTCTACTGGGGTCTCTTGGGATCCACTAGGGCCTATTGGGATCTTTTGGGGTCTGCTGGGGTCTCTTGGGGTCTGCTGGGGTCTCTTGGGGTCTACTAGGGTTCTGTTGGGGTCTTTTGAGGTCTACTAGGGTCTATTGGGGTCTCTTGGGGTCCACTAGGGCCTATTGGGATCTTTTGGGGTCTGCTGGGGTCTCTTGGGGTCTGCTGGGGTCTCTTGGGGTCTACTAGGGTTCTGTTGGGGTCTTTTGAGGTCTACTAGGGTCTATTGGGATCTACTGGGGTCTGCTGGAGGCTCCTGGGGGCTCCTGGGGTTCTGTTGAGGTCTACTAGGGTCTTTTGGGGTCTATTGGGGTCTACAAGGGTCTATTGGGGTCTTTTGGAGTCTCTTAGGATCTACTGGGGTCTACTGGGGGCTACTGGGGTTCTGTTGGGGTCTATTAGGGTCTGTTGGGGTCTACCAGGGTCTACCAGGGTCTACTGGGATCTACTGGGGTCTGCTGGGGGCTCCTGGGGTCTCTTGGAGTCTACTAGGGTCTACTAGGCTCTTTCGGGGTCTCTTGGGGTCTACAAGGGTCTACTGGGGTCTTTTGGGGTCTCTTGGGATCTACTGGGGTCTATTGAGATCTACTGGGGCCTGCCGGGGTCTACTGGGGTTCTGTTGGGGTCTACTAGGGTCTATTGGAGTCTCTTGAGGTCTACTGGGACCTATTGGAGAATATTGGGGTCTACTGGGGCCTGGGAGGGTTGGGGGAACATGGCATCACCCTGCCTTGGCCCACAGGCGTGCGGCCCCACGGCGCGGAGGGCCTGTGGGGTCAACATGGAGCTGCAGGGGTTCTGCTTCCTCCTGCCTGCAGGGAACACCCTGCCTGCCACCCTGCCAGGTATGGGGGGGGGCTGACAATGGGGTGAGGGGCCCTATGGGGTAGGGAAAGCCTGACACTGGGGTTGATGGGCTCTGTGGTGTTGATATGGGGTGGAGAAGACCGGACGCAAGGGTAGATGGGTCCTACGGGATGGTGAAGACCTGACGCTGGGATAGATGGGCCCCGCAGGGTCAAGCTGTGCATCTTTCCCTCCACCACCCCACATTCCTCCCCCCGCCCCCCAGGTTGCCCCGGGGTGAAGGGGCCACCCTCATCCTTCGCGTCCTCCTTCCCTGGTGCAGGACGGACATGTTCACCCCTGGCAAAGGGGCCCGAGAAGATGCCAACAAGATCCTCATTGTGATCACAGACGGGAGGAAGTATGACGACAAGATGGAGTACTCACAAGTCATCCCGTTGGCCAACAAGATGGGGGTCACCCGCTACGCCATCGGGGTGAGGGAACTGCACGCCCAAAACCGTCCACCCCCAAGCAACCAGCCATCCCAAACACATCTGTCCATCCAGCCACTCATTTGTCCTTCCATCTCCAAATGTCTCCATCCATTCAACCATCCAACCCTTTTCAAACGTGGCCATCCATCCACCCACCCATCCAGCCATCTGTGGACGGTTCAGGCAGCATCGCGCCTTCTGACTTCGAGAGGATGAAGACCTTCATCACCCAGGTCATGAGCCAGTTTGAGAGCACTGACACCCGTGTAGGTGCCACCCCCCACCAGGGCCGGGTCCCGGGCACCCATGGGTGGTCTGATCCTGCCCTATCACATGTCCTCCCCTTCTCCCCACCCCCTCCCCCGGGCCAGTTTGCCCTCATGCAGTTCTCCAGTACATCCACCCTCCATTTTGACTTCGCCACCTTCGCCCGGTTGTCCCCGGCGGAGCGGGTAAAGGAGGTCCACAGCATCACGCAGAGCAGAGGGACCACCTGCACGGCCAGTGCTATCCAGACTGCGGTGTAGGTCCTGCCCCCAGACCCATCCTGCCCCTTCTTCCCCGCTCGGGGCCACCCCATCCTCCCAAGATGACCATCCCTTCCATCCCCCCGGGGCAGGAGGCAACTGTTCACCCGGAATGGAGCCCGGGAAGATGCCCACAGGATCCTCATCGTGGTGACGGATGGGCAGAAGTTTGGGGACGTGCTGGAGTACAGAGAGGTCATCCCCGAAGCGGTGCACGCGGGGATCATCCGCTATGCCATTGGGGTGAGTGAGCGCTGTCCAAACATCTCCAACCATCCATCCATCCATCCATCTACCCATCCCCAACATCTCCATCTGTCCATCCATCCACCCATTTCCAAACATCTCCGTCCATCCATCCACCCATCCGTCCATCCGTCCATCCATCCTTACATACATATATCTCCACACGTCTCCATCCATCTGTCCATCTTCAAACACCTCTGGCCATCTACAAGCACCTCTGTTACTCTCCAGACATCTCCAAACTTCCCTTCATACATCCTTTCCCCAATATCTCCATCCATCCACCCACCCATCCAGCCATCTCCAACCATCTCCATCCGTTCTATTCGTGTCCGTCCATCCCGGTCTCTGGGATGGTGGTGTCCCCCGTGAGGGTCCCGGGGATGTCAGTGTCCTCTGGAGGGTCCCAGGGTCCCGTCAGCACCCTCACGGGGGCTGTGGGGAGAAGTCCGTGTCCCTGTCGGGATCATGGGGCCACCAGCATCCTCAAGGGTCTTGGGGACGTCAGTGTCCTCACGAGGGTCCCTGCGTGGGGCTGGGGACACCGGGTTCCCATGAGGTTCCGGGGGACATCGGGCCCTGGCGAGGGTCCCCATGACTATGCTGGGGACATGGGCATCCCCACGGGTGTCTTGGGGACGTCAGGTCCTTGTGAACGTCCCCACGACAGTCCTGGGGACATCAACGTCCTCGCAATGTTCCTGGGGACATGGGTGTCCCCATGAGGATCCGGAGGATGTTGGTGCCCCCACGAGGTCCTGGGGACGTCAGCATCTCCACAAGAGACTTTGGGGCACCGGTGCCCTCACGGGGATCCTGGGGACACCGGTGCCCCCGTGGGGTCCTGGGGACGTCCGCATCCCCGCACGGCTCCTGGGGCCGCTGGCACCCCCAGGAGGGTCCCCCGCTGACCCCCGCTGTGACCAGGCTACGCGGCCGAGTCCCTGTCCCTGGAGGGCAGGCGGGCGCTGGCGCTGGGGGCCCCCCGCTACCGCCGCATCCGCCGCGCCCACC